TATTTTATATTTTAGCCCATTATCAGTTTAAGTGCAAGTAAAAGTCATTGATTTGTACTTTTATCTACTTGAGTCTGTAGTCTATTCATGCGTTTGCTGAGGTATCAATGAACACTGCTTACCAGAAGAATTGGCCACTTTACCTTTAGCACTAAAAATACCATCCTTAAAAAATATGATGGAAGGTACTTATTCTACATAAATTCCTTTTACTTTACATTTCGCATTCATATGGCCCCTTTCTTCTTACCGATAATCTTCATAATGCCTACATACTCTTTTACTCAATTGTGGTGGAAAAATTTATGTAAGCTTGCACGACTTTTATGGGTTCAGCTCATGGACCTCTTTCCCTTCCCCCAATTTTAACTCTTCTTCTATGTAAAAGATGTTTTCTAGCCCCATCTTGTATTGATATTTGTCTTTTATATCTGGTGTTGATGCTTTTTTATTCTCTTAAGATTCAAAGACATCTTCCAGGAAGTCTATGAAACAAAATGGAAATCCAAATTTGAGGCAGCAGGGATATGGTGAGATATGTTACAGATCCTGGGACGTATATACTCTGTGCAGTTTGGTTAATTTGTGCCTAATCCACATTGCTGCACTGCAGGTATGAGCATCGTCTTATTGACGATATGGTTGCCTATGCCTTGAAAAGTGAAGGGGGTTATGTATGGGCATGCAAGAATTATGATGGAGATGTACAGAGTGATTTTTTAGCCCAAGGTTTTAACTTGTGACAAGATCCATGCATTACTTCATTTTATTTTCTAGTTGCTATTTACTAGATTCCTTTACTTGAGTTCTATTTATGGGTCTTTGCACTAGGAAATCTGGTGAAAAACTTGCACGTCCTAGAATTTCTTCCTTTTTGACCTATTGCTAACAAGTGTTAAGGCTTCTTAGAGAGCTCTTCAATCTCATAAATAAAAGAGCAAATAATTTTTCCTGGAATTCTGTCTTCTTCGGATTGTATTCTAATGTTATACAAGAGAAGACAACTGCTCTTAAGATATAGTTAGTTAGCTTCTCTTGCTGGAAGTAACTAAATCCAATCTATAGGAACTGGTCCAATCAGCACACCACCCTCAGAGGAAAGAGCAGCAGCACCTCTGGTTCATCACTTTTCTCCAACTGAAGCAGCTGCTTCTATTGATGGCCAAAGGAATATCGTTCATCATAGTTGGAACAAAATCTTTTTTGGCTCCCATCTTATAGTCCAATCATTGACAATTTTTTGACAATTGGAGGGTGTCCACTGAGAAGACAAACCAGAACCTAATTGGTGCCTGACACCGAGCATTGAAGGCTGTTGAAGATCTCCTCTATGTTCATACAAGCGTGACAAAATCATGGCAGTTATCACGGGGTTTCCTGCAACTCCACTTCAATCACAATTTACTCCTGTAGACTGTTAATGGAAATTTGCTCTTCTTAGTCAGGAGTGAGTTGACATTCCTGTCTTAACTTGGATAATTTGCCACGCTTATTTTGACTGGAGGCCAAACTGCAGATTGCAATAACTTTTAAGTTCTTCTGATGATAACTCTGGCTGTCTCTCTTAGATTTCAGAAAGCAGAGTTGCGAATCATCATCAAGATGGAAGGACACAAAACCACCTGATTCCTCTGTGGCTGTCCCTTGATTGCAAAAGAAATATCATCATCTGTTGCATCTCAATGGATTCATGGTACCACCATAATATGGAAAGTCCAATTTTGAATATCAAGGAACAAATGGACCAGCATCAACAGCCTCACCATGCTGCTATCTGATGCCATGATTGAGTCTGCTATCTCCTTGATCATGATACTGGGGCGTGGTCTAGATGCATGTTGGCTAAGTGCCTAACTGATTGGCAAATTCTTGGTATTTAGGCTCCAAGGCAGCCTGATCATTTTCTCACTTCAATTTGTCTGGATCACACTCTTGCCTTTCTCTAGCCTGATCCTCTCGATACAGTTTGAGAAAAGACTCCAATTGTTGCTGGAAATAAGATACCAAAATGTTGGGCCCATCTACTCTAGACCTCATTATAGATCTTTGCACTGG